GATATGCACTACTGATGAGCTCCAATAAGAGCGAAACTCGAATCTAGTGCTTCCGAGAGTATGGTTGAATCGATGAACTGCGTGAATGTGAAGTCCGAAGAATAGTCCGCTCAAATCAATAAAAAAAAACCAATTATCCCAAACCACTACTCATAAGTAACTGTGAGTCAACTTTGAGACACAGAGAGGAGTTGTACAGACGAATGCTCACGGCTCCTGCAGTGGCCAGTATCTGATAGCGAATCTGTCTCGATAATCGACCACAAACTTTATACAGGGGTTGAAAAGCCTCGGCCACATCCACAGTGTGATTTGTTTCAGCTAGGTGTGAAACCACTGCAATGGTGAATGATTTAATCGTTCCGGTGTTCGCATCAGAGCCAAAGTCATAGGAAAAGTAAACCTGGCCAAGTAGTTCTCATAAATTACTCGATCATTTGGTCCTTTGTAGTCAAAATATTTGAAGGTGAACGATGTACAGCAGATTTAACCAAAACTATTTCAAACTTACGCCAACGCCGAAATATAACACTCCAGGGCACCGTAGAAGGCGCTGCTCGACTGCTCGACTGTCTCATAGTACTGAGCTAATGAAGCCGCATTCGTCGCCCACTCGACTCGATCGAAAGGATGAAAAGCAGCTGATATACAATCCGTTTGCCGACGCCTTACCCCGGCGTTTTCGGTGATTGAATCCCGGGTTCGTCTGGCCGACATCGGTCTTGGGCGTTTTCGTCGATCAAACGGACCGAACACTCGCAAAAGATTATGGAACGGACGGGCAAACGTCAACTGACGAGATAACGTCAGTTGACAGCACGCGGCCGCATGGTCCGGTTCGTTAGCCAATTGATAAGCCTTTGACGGGTTCGGAGGAGGATATAAGAAATGAAAGACAAGGACAAATTGATTTTTTTTATTACATACACTTGTGTGATGAACGGCAAACGGGGCGAACCCCATAGTCACGATGACCTGCTGCTCCGTCATGGAACATGTTAACCTAAGCCCGGGACTTGGAGTGGCGAACCACATAAGGCTCCACTAGTTTAGGCGTGGTGTTGAACCGCATAGATCGCCACTGATACGAGAAATCAACGAGCAAAGTAGTGAGTCTCACATTCAGTTGCATAGCTCACACATGCAGTATATAAGCATATTTAAGAACTGGTGGATGATAAATAAACAGTGCATATATCGTGAGAAAAGTTTGTCTGGTTTTTTCCGTAGTAGGTGAACGATGTCTGAAAACCATTTCAGCTTTATACCATTTCCCTCCTCCACTTCAAACATTATCAATGTTTTCACTATGTGCAAACCATTTTTTTTTCAATTCCACCCATAGAGTATACTTCCCCATACAATATCGTCCACAATCGATCCAACTTATGTACATGCTTGAAACCTGTCGTAATACGATAAGTTCCTCTAATTTATTTACGTATACAACCTTTAACCATCCCCACACAATTTGCCTGTATATTTTTTCCAAAGGTTTCGGTTCTTATTTCATTACCTTAAATACGAGAGCTTTCTCGGAGCAACATTTTCTCGTTCAAGGTTTTAGTTCTTTTTCTTCCATCTACTGAAGACAACACTTGCTTCACGTGTGTCCAAAAAGGCCGGATTTGTATACAGGAATCCTCTTCATTTCT